CATTTATTAATACTTGCATAAGAATATAAAACAGGAAACAAGGTAATTGTTTTACTGATGATGAAAATAATGAACGTATATTTTGTTGACACATATGTGAATATCGTAAACTATTTTCTACATGAATTGATAATAAACCTATATTTGTACAACTTGATTCAGATAAAATCCAACTAGCTGTCATTGATTTTAATGGTTGAATCTAAAAATTAGAAAAATATTTTTCAAAGATGAAAATTCGATGTTTAATTTAGAATTTACCAAACAAAATGCCTTTGTTTTATCATAAAGTACAAGAGTACGTTGAAATCGATGATCTGTACGCCATGATGCAAGACAAGTACCTTTGACTGAAGTAATAACTTGTACATCAGGTACAATATCATGATAACAAGATGAAGATAATGTTAATTCACTTGCATTTGTTCTTTCACAACCTATCGATAAAGTCCATAGACCAGTTGGACATGTAGAAATCGGTAGAGAAGAACGATAAGTATTCAACGATTTATAAACACCATTTTGTGGACATGATATATCAGATTTTATCGTAGGTTCTAATTTTAAAAAATATTACACAAAAAAATGCAATGGTATAACTTACTAAACAGAGTATATTGTATATGATAATCTTTACATCGATATTCATCAAATCCTAAAACAATAATAGAATTTACATTTACATTAAAATAAGGCATGGCAAAAAGTATTACAATTAATATTTGATTTCATCGAGGTATGATAGTTTCTGCTTTTTATGTTAACAACGCTTTATAAAACTCATATATTTAAAAATGGGTACTATCTTGAGGGTGGGTGTGGGTGATTCCTCCTAATAACGCCGAAAGTAAAAATGTCGAATAGTAAAAAATCAGAATGTGGGTGTGAGTAAGGATGTGGGTAACAGAGTAAAGTTACTGTAATAACCACACCCACACCCACCCCTTCGACATTTTTTTTCGATGAAATTAGGGTTAACCGTGTAAGTGTCCATCTCTTATCCACCCACACTCAGTTTGAATTTTTTTACTGATAATTCACAATAAACTACTGACCACTTAATTTTTATTCTTTAGAAATTAAAACAATACCTATGGAAAGATCGATCACTGTTGAAGAACGATAAATTAATTTAATGCAAAAGAATTTTGATAAACTAAAATAAAATAAAAAAATTTTCTATTCATAGTATTTTTTTAAATTAATTTTTACCATTGTTCTAATGATTTTGCTCGAATACGAATAGTATTTTCATGTTTACGTTTACTATGTATAATTCGTAAAAATGTTAGATTATATTTAATTATTGGATCATTATTTGTTTTCATTATAAGTTGAGTTTGATTAATGTAAACTCTATTTGTTCCTATAGAAAGCCAAACTCCTTGTGTCCAGTTTGGCATTGGAATTATTGATGCATCATGTTTATCTGAACAGAAAAAAAATTATTTTTTTTGTCAATATTTTTATTAATTTACTTGGAATAATTTTTAATACAACAGCTGATTCTCTTGTTAACAAATCTCTACAAGTTTCATCTTGAGATAAATAAATTTCATTTGGTAAAGAATTATTTTCATTTGTTTTTATTTTTGTATAAGAAAAACAAATAAATCGTTGTTGATTGACACTTCGAGAAATAATATAATTCGTATTTCCATCAGAAAATTGAGCAAAACATGTTGCTATTTCATCTATTTTTTATTTAAAATATATAAATATATATAGATATTATAGAAATAAACCTTGATATGATTGACATCGATTATTATATGACAATTGAAATGTATCTATTGAAAAACAATTATGAAATGCTTTTGGTTGACATAAGGATAACATTTGATGTTCTTTTTTAAAATGCCATGATTGGTCAAATGGACATGGAATCGATTGTGCATTGTCTTAATAGAATTACAAGAAGAAAAAAGTCAATATTTTATATTTTTCATTTTTAATAAAATGATTGAATGGCGCCGGGAGTTGCCATTCATTTCCTGTGTTTATCTAGGTCACTGAACATTTCATGTCGGTCAATGTCTCGTCCATTCGCTATTGTGAGTATTACTCTTCCCTATGGACTATCGCATATTCATTTTCTATTAATGAATATGAATTTTGATGGATAGATTACATTTTATCTTACCCCGGAAAAGTGTGTATAAGACAGTATCCGGTGTAATCGAACCACAGATACGATTATGATCATCATCTGCATCAAAGCATTCACCTAGAATTAGAAAAATTCTTATTAATAATTTCAAAACAAAAGATTGTATAAGACATCAAATTTTAATTATCATTAGCGGAAGTGTATGACTATCGTTTGTAGATGAAATATTGCATGTAAGTATACATATAACATGAACAGAGAATTCAAACCAACAAAAATGTCATATATGTATATTGATTGATGATAATTAAGAAAATTTTTGACATGATGATCATTTGTATTTTATAAAATACTTACTTTCTCGATATTGTAATACGTTTGAATGTCTTGGAATAAAAAGTATACAACGTTTACATCTTGTTTGTCTAGAAGAAACAAAAAGTTATATTATACTTCATATGTTGTTTAACTTACTCATTGTAATATATATATTTATTTTTTACATCTTGTTGTCCATGTAAACATGTTCCTTTCAATGAAAACGATGTATTATTAATTGTTATCACATCATTTAATCCTGATTGTATCCATTTACCATCAAATAATGTAGAAACCGAACAAATTGAAGATGATAATGAAAAACCTAGAGTAAATCCTGACATTTACATGTATATATCGTAACCTTTTTCTTTTTTTGTTATAGTAACTAGCTATTG